GCTAAGATTCGCAGCGTCTTTTAAGCTAGGTGGGAGAGGTAAAGCGCCTTGACAAAGGAGTTTACATATCAAACAGGAGAATTTAGCATTGAAATCGCTGTGTTAAAGTGTTGGATCAGCAGGGTGTTAAAGTCAGAAATAAGCATGTAACTGGGAGATTAGCATGATGTTAATGTGAGGGATTAGCATGTGACTGGTCACGGAAATAGCTATGTTAAAGTCAAAGTTTACATCTCAACAGAGGCGTTTAGTATATGGACGCTAAAGGACTGCAACTACCCAACTATCATACAATAAACCGATGTGAAAAAAAACTAAGTATAAACTACATCAATGTTATCAATAAACTCTATATGCTCTCCAATCAGCAGAGCGCTTCAATGAACGCTGCTAAGATTCGCAGCGTCTTTTAGGCTAGGTGGGAGAGGTAAAGCGCCTTGACAAAGGAGTTTACATATCAAACAGGAGAATTTAGCATTGAAATCGCTGTGTTAAAGTGTTGGATCAGCAGGGTGTTAAAGTCAGAAATAAGCATGTAACTGGGAGATTAGCATGATGTTAATGTGAGGGATTAGCATGCGACTGGTCACGGAAATAGCTATGTTAAAGTCAAAGTTTCCATCTCAACAGAGGCATTCAGTATATGGACGCTAAAGGACTGCAACTACCCAACTATTATACAATTAACCGATGTGAAAAAAAACTAAGTATAAACTACATCAATATAATAAATGTACTCAATATGTTCTTCAATATGTTAAGCTATAAACATAAAGTAACTGTGTATACACTACACTATATATTGAATACCATATAGTAAACGAATTAATAAAACTAAAATATAAACTACATCAATGTTATTAATAAACTCTATATACTCTCCAATCAGCTGAGCTACTAACAATAAGTCATTATACATTACAATGCCATATGGCGAAAAAATGGGTGGCGGTTTTTTCCTTCTTTCCAACGTTAGCACCACGGAGAGCGACGAGCCTCGTTCAGACGGACGAGTCCACCCATGCTCGGAACGGAGGAGGGGGGAGAAACTGCCACGATGCGCTGCTCTGTCCTGTGTTGCGTTACAACCATGCCATAAACTAGACTACTATACATTGTAATGTTATACCTTCCAATCTAAACTACATTGTATAATATCGTATACACAGCCCAATGTAAGCTCGAACATTATGCAGTATATTGATATGTCTCCAACTAAACTTTTTCCTACATTACACAACTATACACCGTAATATACACTACCATAGACAAACCCACCCTTGAATTATACAATGCGTTACTTTACACTACCCTATACTTTAGACTGTAAAATGTTAGACTTGTAATATTACACTATGTATTATTCTACCAACCCTACTGTATACCACACTGCTGTATATTCACTATACAATTACGATACTATATATTGCCTTATGAATTATGTTAAACATTACAATGTTATACTATTTTGTATTATTATATAACATGCTATAAACCATACCATTGATCGTCGTGTGAAGAGGCAGTGCCAGCGAATGGACTGCGGTCTGAAAGTCACCATAAAATACAAGCCGGATGGCTTGCAGAGAACCTCCGTCTTGGAGAAGTCAATGTCATGTGAGCCCACTGAATTATAACAGTGATCTGCCACGGCTAAGGTGTTCGTCCTACAGTGTTTCAAGTCTGCTTTATGTTCACGGATGCGGTCCGAGATATGTCGTTTGTTTTCTCCAATGTAACTGCTACCACAGAGGCAACTTAGTTTGTAGACGCCCGGGTACTGTATGTCTGGAACCACATCTTTTACAGACGGAACCAGATCACGGATTTTATGTACTGTGTTGAATCGGACCTGGATCTTGTGTTTATTCAGGATTTTGGAGATCTTATTTGTGACCCCCGCAATGTAGGGTAAGGTGATGGTTTTGAATGGCTCCTCAAGAGGATCCTTCTTCATGGCTGGAGTGATGGCTTTGCGGATTGTGTAGTCGGAGTAACCATTAGCCTTGAGAGCTTGGTGTACATGCTTGAGTTCACTGGCAATGTGTTCCTGGTCGGAAATGCATTGGGCTCTATGGTATAGAGTCTTGATGAGGGAGTTCTTCTGGGATGGATGGTGGTGGGAATCCGGTTTTAAGTAAGCATCCGTATGGGTAGCTTTACTGTAGACAGAGTGGCTCATTGAACCATCAGGTCTCCTTTTAATTAGGACATAAAAAAGGGTAGCTTGCCATCTTTTTCGACTTCCATGGTAAATCTGATGGCTGGGTATATGGAATTGATGTGGTCGAGGAATTGGTCTAGAGCAGGCCGGCCATGTGGCCAGATGACAAAAGTGTCATCCACGTACCTCTTCCATAACGTCGGGCGTAGAGTGGCAGTCTGGATGGCGTCAGTTTCAAATTTCTCCATGAAAACGTTGGCTACAACCGGAGATAGGGGGGAGCCCATTGGGGTGCCCTCAGTTTGTTTGTAGAAAGTTCCATTCCAGGTGAAGTATGTGTTGGTTAAGCAGTGTCTCACCAGGGGGGGTACATCAGTATGCAGTCCTTGATGAACCAAGTCTTCAGTGATTGCGATGGTGTCAGGTATCGGAACTTTGGTGAATAAGGAAACCACATCAAAACTGACAAGCAAGTCGTCTGGGGACAGGGAAATGCCCTTGACCACACGTCGCTCTGCACCTTGTAGAGCCCATGGAACATGCTTTCTGGAGACATGACCGCATGGCCACAAGCACAACAACAATACGTTCAGTAAATTCAGTTCAGGGCGATGCTTCGCGATTCGTCATACGTTTTTTTTGCGTGAGGCCACATATTCATCTGGCCAAATTAGCGTCATCTAGCCCTCCACTACCCTGAAGGGTTAAATGTGTAATGATATCACGGGATGTCACTGTGTAGTGCCAGGTGTAGTACCGGCCCTAGAAGGGCTCGGTCAGCGCTGATTGATCAGCTGGATGGCATCACGCTTGGCGTGCAGTGCCAGCCCGACAGGATAGGGTGTGGGAATGCCGGCCGTAGGAAAGGGGTTACTAAAGGCCATGGCACTCTGGTTGACCCGAGAGGACACGTGACCGGCTAAGTCTACAAAGGGGCCCCAAGTGGGGGCTAGGGGTGGTCACGTGGTCGGGGTCCAGATCCTGCTGCTCGAGGATTCTAGAAGGTGGTCGTGGCCAAGGGCGGAGCCAGCCACGCCACAGAGAATATAAGCCGGGTCCCCCAGAGGGACTGGCGTTGTTGTTCATCTTGAAGAAACCTTTGTCTGCGTCTACGTTCTACCGAGTCTCCAACACGTGGACCTGGACCCGAGCTGTGGTCCCGGTCTGTCGTAGCTAGTCATGTTGTAATTAGTGTAGTTAGCCTGGTGGTCACCACCACAGGTTATTCTGGGCCAGAGTTACCCCGTGTACCACATGGTGGGGGGGGGGGGAGGCGATTTGTAAAATTGCCCCATATTTTAAACTGTCGGCAGAGCAGAGAGATTGAATCCAATTACCGACCTCTGGATTGCAAGTCCAGGGTGGGAGAGCCATTGCACCACCGTGTGTGGCAGCACCCCCACTCTTTTTTTCTTAGGGGCTGTGCAAAATAAAATAAAAACATTGAGTACAATTAAAGTGATGGGCCTTCTATCCCGATGATGGTGATGACATTGGCGATACTGATAATGATGCTGATGATGCTAAGTAAGGTGAAGGACTCACATTGCCCTTCACCACGTAGTTGGGGTCAGTCTGGACGTCCCGTGCCAGCCCAAAGTCGCAAATCTTGGCGATGTGTCCATGCGTTACCAGCAATTTCCTCGCAGCCAGGTCGCGGTGGATGCACTAAAAAAAAGAAAAAAAATTCCCTGTGTGGCCTTCAACAAACTTGGGGCAACTTCTGTGAAGGTCGGCCACGGTACACGACGGGGTGGGTGCCCAGCACCACGCTCGGCCGCCTTTGTCTCCCCAGTGTAGATGTTTACACACCGCACCAGGTACTCATTTGAGACTGAGTCCACCTGGGGAGGCCCAAGACCGGTTCAGATAATTGTCACTGGTGTTGGCCGTGAGCGGGAATCGAACTCTGGCCGTTGGGTTCGTAGCACAGTGAACTAACCACTGAGCGACCACTCGCCACCCAGACAGCCATATTAAGGGCAACAAAGACGTGCACCACAGACACAGTCACATACAAAGACACAGTTAAACACGCACAGTCACAGAGACACAGTTAAACATACTCTTTGGTTCTTTCGGTAAAGTAACATAGGTATAAAATAAAACAAATCACGACGTTTCGGGCGCTAAACCCTGTTTGTTTGGTATGCTTCTCTCTCTGTGTCCCCTGTTGTATCTGTGTTAGTTCCCCCCTACTTGTGTGTCTGTATATACATCTCGGGTTATGTGTTTCCTCTCTCTCGTAAATTTAGCTCTTCTGTACCTAATGATGGCTGCTTGTGTTGCAACCGAAACGTCGTACGCTATTATGTTATTTTATTATTTCTTATTTATACGTGACTTTACCGAAAAAACCAAAGAGTAATTCCTGCAGTCACGAAAGCTTCGAATCAAGTCTGAACCACCTCTACGGGGAGGTATGAGGTTTGTGTCTTTGTGTTGTCTCTGCTTGTGTATCTGCCTTTGTGTCTTGGCTTGGATTTGTGTCTCTGTGCTGTCTCTGCCTGTGTGTGGGCCTTAGTGTTTCCGAGTGTGTACTGCTGCACCCCCTTTGCTCCATGCATACCTGATGCTAAATTGTCCTATTGTCTCTCAGCCTTACCTTCTCTTCCTATTTAAGGCGATAAACCCTGTTTGTTTGGTATGCTTCTCTCTCTGTGTCCCCTGTTGTATCTGTGTTAGTTCCCCCCTACTTGTGTGTCTGTATATACATCTGGGGTTATGTGTTTCCTCTCTCTCGTAAATTTAGCTCTTCTGTACCTGATGATGGCTGCTTGTGTTGCAACCGAAACGTCGTACGCTATTATGTTATTTTATTATTTCTTATTTATACGTGACTTTACCGAAAAAAACCAAAGAGTAATTCCTGCAGTCACGAAAGCTTTGAATCAAGTCTGTAGTGCCTCTTGTTAAACAGTGCTTCAGTTAAACAGGAAAATTAATAAATCCAGCAGGCATGACTTGAAAAGTAACAAATTTACATTTTGGGTGGCACTCTAAATCGTCCGGTAAATCGTGTCGCCAATTATAATTTCTGCGTTTATCTGCGCGTGTCTGTGTACCCCCAGTGGAGGAATACGTGCGCAGCTTGCTGGACAACCCTGAGTTGATTGACCGTCTGGCACTGGCCTCGGAGCAGGTGAGACTCCGTATGCGTGCATCAGCTCTGCCCCCCCCTCATATTTATGGTGCGGGCCTGTACCCTTGTCCGACCCCTCACTTCCGCGTTGCATCCAGCTGCCTCACTGAAGAAAGGGACACTTGCCTTGCGCTGAGTACGACGTTTCGCTGGTTGTAATCGCCAGGGAAACGATATACTCGATTTGTAAGTGTTGTGGGTTTACTCTCCAATACACTGGCGTGCTGCAGTAGTAACTAATTGACACGTTTTGTTTTACGTAACAAACCTTACTAATTGGCTGTACCGGGTTAACTACACACATTTACGTGCTCTTACCCAAAAAACCTTTATTATGGATAATATTGGTCGCAAAATAATACGTGTTAAACAGCTCCCTTTTAGAATGTCTCATCCTCACCAGCAATGGTCAATCAATCAAATAAATCGGTTTAACACGTAGGCTTTCGCGACCAATATTATTCATAATAAAGGTTTTTGGGTTAGATCGCGTTATTTATAAATGTCTCGTAACCCTCCACCACCTGACACGGCCAATCAGTAAAAAAAGTGTCACGTTGACAAAAGACAAATAATTCACTACTTTAGCCCACCGGTGTGTTGAAGAGTGAATCCACAACATTTACAGTTTGAGTACTCAATTGGATTCACTCTTCAACACACCGGTGGGCTAAAGTAGTGAATTATTTGTCTTTTGTCAACGTGACACTTTTTTTGCTGATTGGCCGTGTCGGGTGGTGGAGGGTTACGACACATTTATAAATAACGCGATCTAACCCAAAAACCTTTATTATGAATCAAATAAATCCTAGATTTATAACGTGGCATATTTATCAAAAAGCAGAGACGGAAGGGTGAAACTCTAGAGGTAGCTCTATGATATCCGCTTTTGTGGAACGTTCTCTAACACGGATGGCCGTACTGCTCTGAGATAAATCAGACTGGATCCTTCGTCTCGTTACGTGATGGCGGTTGCAAAATTGTTGTTGACGCGTGCATGTGCCGTGCGTGTGCTGTGTACGTGTGCAGGATGTGGTGGAGTCCCGGGTAATCTTCCCCGAACATCTCCCGCTGTCCCAGCTGCAGCAAGGTGTGCGCTCCGGCCGGTTTGTCCAGGGAACCTTCCTTGCGAGTCGTGAGAATTACCTGGAGGGGACTCTGAGGGTGCGAGGGGACGGTGACAGTGATAAAGAGGTACACGTTTCACAAGCCTGCGTCCGGAAGGAACAATGCTGTTCGATCGTATCTGTGTGAGTTTTAAAAACAAATTTATAATGAAGCAGTGGCATAGCGTTCTTGGCATGAGCAGTAGCTCTTAACCTTTACTGCAAGGCTGTAGTAAAGGTTAAGAGCTACTGGGCTAAAATATTTGTATTTTGAACGTCTTTTGCACCCTATGTAGGTATCGTAGCCTGGCTCCTGCCCCCCCCGGCCTGTGGGTCCTGGTGCAGTTGCACTGCCTGCACACTCGATAGCTACGCCACCACAACCACAGTATATACGTTAATTGTGACTACTTTAATAATAGGGTTTTTCCCTTTTTTTCTGGCAACAAAACTGAAACCTTTTACAAGGAATCATGTGTGCATTAACCAGAATACTTGTGGTCAAAATGCAAACAAAAAACACACTATGATAATATATGCATTGTCCTTGAGACTGATTGGTCCACACCAGGGATGGCTTTCTTTTGAGCCTCGACCCAATTGGTGCGAGACCAGAGGACGCCAAAAGGCGTACGCATATATTGCAAATATTATCAGTGTTTTTGTTTGCATTTTCACCACAAGTATTGTGGTTAATGCACACGTGATTCCTTGTAAAAGGTTTCAGTTTTGTTGCCAGAAAAAAGGGGAAAAACCCTATTATATTTTGGTACTGGCAAAGGAGGTCTAATGATGGTTGTGACTACTTTGTTAACAAATTGAATGGTCTATTTCCACCTCCAAAATGTAACGTTAAATAACAATTAGGTACATTGGCCCTTTGTTGGAAAAAAAACCAGTCCAGAAATTGCCCTGCTTGAACATATGTTACTGAAAAACATTGGTTTCAGAAGATTCATGGGCTCATAGTCCTATATTTTAAATTGTTTATTCGTGGTATTAAAACTCTTGTACAGTAAAACCTTGGATTGCGAGCATAATTCGTTCCGGAAACGTGTTTGTAATCCAAAGCACTCGTATATCAAAGCACTCGTATATCAGTTGTGATCACGTGACGCTCGGCAGTACAAAGCTGCTCGTATTGCAAGACCCTCGCTCGTTTATCAAATTAATATTTATTAAAAATTTTGCTCGTCTTGTAAAACACTCGCAGACCAAGTTACTCGCAATCCAAGGTTTTACTGTATATGCTGCTCTCTAACAGCACTTGGCCCAGCGGTCTGTTAAGGCTATACGGGGGATCTTTTTTGTCTCCGTGCAGGTGTTGATCCAGGGGCTGCAGCATTTAAACCGCGCGATGCACGACGACATCGTGTGCGTGGAGATGTTCCCCGAGGAGCGCTGGGTTGCCCCCTCCTCGCTGGTCCTGCACGATGAGGGCGTCGCAGGGGACGTTGCAGAAGAGAATGAGGAGGATGTGGTGAGTGGAGCGTCAACACTGCCGAACCAAAATCAAACCCAGACACCTGCAGTGTGCGTGTCTCTCTCCCCGTGGTCGCATGGATTTTTCTCCAGGTCCTCCGGCTTTTCCCTCCACAGTTACAATCTGACATGCACTTAGAGTATTTGGCTGCTATCAATTTCAAATGTGATAAGATACTTCATTGAACGATCATTTGTGGCCAGGTCACTTAAAAAGAGCTATATAGCTCTCAGGGTCCTTACCTGGTAAAGTTATTTAGTTTATAGTTTTTAAATAGTTTTAATATAGTTTAAACAAAGAATAACAACAAAGACTCAACCACTTCAAGAGAGACCTTAAACATAATGAACACCGTGTGACCAGACAACAATCCACATTAGA